ATAATATTAAACATAAATATTACTAGTCCTATTATGATGTTTAATAAAATTATCAAATTATGCAAATCAATAATCCTATTATAAATACTAATAGCGTAATTAATAATTAAAATATAAAATATTAAAATTAATTAACTTAATTTAAAATATTATTAAAAATAGTGTATTAATAATGTAATTTTTCCTAATTTATTATAAAAGTTGAAATGTAAGTTATTAATAATAATAGGGATTAATATGTAATTTTACCCCAAATTATATAAGTAATTAAAAAGACTATAATAAAATTAAATAAAATTAAAAGAAAAAATTAAAAAACGTAAAAACTTGTTTTCAGGACCAAAATGAAAGGTTTACAAAGCTAGACGGATCACGCGTGTAGTTTATCCCTGATAGAATTACAAAGATACCCCTCCCCAAAATGACATCGCACGAAAGAGGGTATTTAAGCCTTAAAACCGACCTTTCGAGGCTAAGCTCTTTCATTTTCTCTCTCACTAAACCGAGAGATGCTCTGTCATCTCTCTAAAAGCTCTCGTCGGAGGTACGTTGGTCACCGGCCGGTTATCGAATGCCGCCGTCAGTTACCACCGCCGACCACCACCCACAGTGGTCGAAGATATGAAATTACACCCAAAATGAAGCTCTCTCAACCCTAATCACTATTCTGAGCTTCTTTTACCCTAGAAACCTTTTAATCGGCCGAGATCTAAGATTTTACCTTCAGTAAAATACGTTCTCCGATGGCGTTTGGACTTCGACACTTGGGTAAGTTCTTCTTCTCTCTTTTCCTTTGCTGGTGGTGAATGTTGTGATGGCCTTATATACGCCTCGAAGATTTGGTGTAATGATAACAAGATCTGGTGAGTCACCGGACCTACGGTGGTGACTCACCCTAGAGTGATATGATGTGCAGCCTGTAATCGTCTTCTAGAGCCTTTTGGAGTGCTCTGGAGAGGCGGCGATCTTCGTGGCAGCGCTGGATTGGAGCGATGGAGGCGGTGGCTGGATTAGACCCTATGGTGAGAATGATACCCTAGGGTTTCTGCTGCAAGGCTTATGGACCATTGGATCTCCATCTGATCGTGCAATGGAGGGCTGCTAGCGGCGCTGGAACAATTGATGGATACCCTAGCAGCTAGTGGGGCTTCTCACGTGGGCTTGCTGAAATTGGGCCTGACTCAGTTTGGGCTTGCATCTGACTCGGGCTCAGGCTTAGTTGTAAACAAGCCTTTGATTTGCTTTGTAATCGAGCCTGTGTGCCTTACTTTGTAATCGGGCCTTCGGGCTTTATAAATAATAATATTTATAATATAATATTATTATATATAATAAAGTATATAATAAACGTCACTCGGACGAAAACGACTGTTGAAAAATATAATTTTGGTTTAATAGTATTTTAGTTTATGTAAAAATAAATATTTAAATTTTAAAATATAAAAAAATATTAAATATTTAATCAAGTAGTGGTCGAACTAAAGAATGATAAGTATATGTTCTCAAATTTTTAGTATAATTACAACTTAGGCCATTGTAAGTTTAAATATTAGACAAATTAGAAGTTGTCTTATGAATTTTGAGTTTTTTATTATAAATTTAAGGTGAATACAAGGTAGTATATGTACAAAGACTTTTAACTATTTGACAATGAATGCTCGTACCCCTACATACGCAGTGCTTGAACTCGGGACCTCAAGGATAACAACAATCCCCTTAATCACTAAGTTCGTTTGTTCATGCTGAATTTCGAGTTTAAATACATAATAAGTCTCTATATTTTTCTTAAATAGCCTAATATTTTGGCCCAGGTCAATATTTAATTTTATCTCCGTCCCTGCCAACTAGAGCAAAAGTTAAGATTTGACAACCGAATCCAATTAGCCTGCTAACCTATGAAAAATCATTATAACCCTATGTTTGACACCACTAACTAGGATCAATATAAATTTCCCTTAACATGACTATGAGAGAGCTTTATGATCCTCTCCACCATTGGTCAGACACTCATCTTCTCCTTATGTCTCTATCTCACTTACAGAAAAACACTGTCCAACGACCGTTTACTCAACAATTAAGGAACTTTTGTTGAAACCAAAAGGGATAAACCACCAACAACAAACAAAATAAACTTGTTCTCATAAATAATTTATCACCAAAGATCGACGAAATAAAGTTGTTCTCATTAAAAATATATATACGAGAATTATATTATCAAAATAAGTTCTAATAATTTTTATAATATTAATATATGGGTTATGTTCCACTTACACAATGTATAACTTTTTTAGTTTTACATAAATTTAAGTCCATTGGATGAAGAAAAATAGATGATTGAGATGAACTATTTTCTCCCCATAAATATATTTTCTTTTTTAATATTAATCTCAACTAATTATTTTTAGCTATTCAATGATCTTAATCTATATAAAAGTAAGAAATTGTGTACGGTATAATTTGATTTTATCCTTTAATATAAAATTAGTAATAGAAGTGGGCATTGTATTACATATAGCAACTTGATCAAGTTGGCGAAAAGTGGTACGGTAGTTTAGTTGAATCATTAAAATAAATAAATTGTGATGATGCGATCCTTATCCATATAATTTGTAGCTTGCTGGAATAGGACGAGGGAAATATCATTAATGTATTTACCCTTAGATTTATCCATTTATTTCAATATATTATCTTAATATATTTTTTATTATAAAAAATAATGTGACATTCAAAGAACGTACCACATAACACATAAATATGAGAAATTATAGAGTGAACGTGATATATCAAAACACACCACTAAAATGACATATCAAAATATACCATTAATTAATTGATCATTAAATTATGATCAAATGATATTTTTAATCATTCAACCTTTTAAAAATTATAAAATAAGCATTTAACTTTATATTTTGTTAAAAATATAAGTATTGTTGATTAACTATCATTAGAGAATGAGCATTCAGAAACACACCACTAACTAAATTAAAATAGGGTAAAATTATAAATGATCATCAAACTATGATCAAATGATCTTTTTAGTCATTCAACATTTTAAAAGTTATAAAATAAGCATTAAACTTTAGATTTTATTAAAAATATAAGTACCGAAATATCAATCATTAATTATCATTAAAGAATTATGTGACATTTTACATTAATAAAAATATCTACTTTGATCCCTCAATTGTGATTAAAATGTTCTTTTGATATTTTCCTAATATTTTTAAGTAAAACTTTCAAAAACAATATATATATTTAAAATATATTCAATTTCAGATTTTTTTTGAAAATATAAATACATTTTTAAATTATATTTAAATTTATTAAACAAAAGTTAAATAATTGAATCACATTGCTTAACAAAAGAATTGTCTTCTCTTTCTGATAATTGAAATTATTGGATGTCAAAAACTATAAATTATTAATTTTACAAATGTAATCATAACTAAATTCAAATATTTATAAAATAATTTGATGAATTAACAAATTCATAAAGTTGTAATTTTAAAAAATATTTTATAATTTTAAAAATATAAATTTCCAAAAAAAAATTTAAAAATGTTTTTAGAATTATTAATTAAAAATATAAAAAAAATTCAAAAATGAAACTTTATTTATAGTTGAAGGGGTAAATGAGATTATTTTTATTAGTTTAATATATCACTTCACTCTTTTAATGACAATTAAAGTTGTTGTATTTATTTTATAAAAATTAAAGTTTAATATATATTATATAACTTTTGAAAGTTTAATATCTAAAAAGATTATTTTAACATAGTTTAGTAATCATTTAAAAATTTTATCCTACAAAGTTAATGGATTAATTAAGAAGTGGTCCTTGACTTTTTTTTTTGGCTCGGCATAAATATTTTATTAATGATAAAATCAAATACACCGAAAGCTTAAATTGTGTGCCTCGTTAAATACATCTCTAAACCTATGGGGAGGAAAAAAATACAACACAATAAGTATGAAACAAAATTCAAAACAAACACAATCTAAATCTACTGATCATGCAATCACCTTGCATCAACCTGCTGCGATCAACTTAACCTTGCAACACAAACAAAATGATCACATATTGCAACTAAAATTACAGCTAAAACCATCAAAACCTTTTCACCCACGCAAACAAAGAAAAGACAAATACCCAAAAAACCACTAATACATAAAAGCAGAACCAAAGATTAACTCTATGTAATCAAAGCAATCCCAACCAAAACCTAAAGCAACCACAAACCAGACCATGAAACCACAACAATAAGACAACGAACAAAATGCAAATTCTGCAGAACCGATCTCCCCACTTCCTTGCATAACCACAACGCCTTAAACAAGAATTTCTTTGTAGCCCCGCTTGGGCAATATGAATTGCTATGGCATTAAGTTTCCTTGAGTACATCCCCTAGCCATTTTTCTTTCACCAGCACAAAGCTACTGCTAATATAATACTTATATACTTGATATTGCTCATTATCCCATAACGAAACCAATACCCCCAACCCTCCCTAGAGCTTTAGAGACTATGAGAACAAATTTATTGATCTTGAGTTTTTTAATGTTCAAGGACAATTTAGTTAGTGGCATGTTTAGGTGTACCCAAACTAATCCGAACCGATCCGTATCAACCCGTCAATAAAATAATTTAACTTATTTTTAAAATTTAAATATAAAATTAAACTTAAAACAAAATAATTGTTAACTTTTCCCCTTCAGGTTTTCTAGAGTTTTATCCTGATTAATTTGAATTAATCTATGTTGTACATCTGATTTTGATGAATGATTCTTTTAAAACTTAGGACCAGCTTCAGTGATATCAGGCTGACTACCTCAATCAAACCGGTTAATAAAATAGCTACTTTAATCAAGCAAAAAATAGCATTATAAACCTTAAATAAAGGAAAATGAAAATACTGTAGTAGTAATGGTGGCCATCAGTATAAATACGATACACAGACGTAGCGAACACAAACAAAAGCCAAAGCTGCTCTCTGATTAAATGATTAAAAAAGCTTCCCAGAGTTTACTTCTTTCCTCTATATAGGAACCTTCCTCTTCCTTTCGTTTCTCCTCTTCATATATCCATAATCCCTTTATTTTTTCCCCGCAATTTTTTTCATGGATTTAGAAGGGAATCACATTGATTATGCTCTTAACGGCAAAGCAATCCTCTGCGTCGGCGTCGTTCTCTTCGTTGCTGTAATCATCGTACTCTGCTTCCACAACTACGTACGCGTCCTCTTCCGCGACGGCCGTCGTCGTTACATGCGCCGCCGTGCCCTGCGATTACTTTCCATATCCACCGCCGGTACTACTTCGATAACAGTTGGTTCCAAGGGTTTGGATTCTTCCATCATTGAAACGATCCCTATTATCGTTTACGCCACCGGATCCAGCTATTTCCCTCCGCTGGAATGCGCCGTTTGCTTATCGGAGTTCGAAAACGACGATAGAACCCGTGTTTTGCCAAAGTGTAAACATACTTTCCATGTTGACTGCATCGACATGTGGTTTTATAGTCACTCTAACTGCCCACTGTGTAGAGCTCAGGTCCAAGCTGTTATTTCGGTCAACCCAAAGCAAACGGCCGACGTAGTGTTTGAAACAGCCGGATCAGAACCTGTTAGAGATGTTAGGGAAACCAAAATCTGTTCCCCCTCTTCTTCGTCATCGTCATTGGAGATGGGGGAGAGTTGCCCCATGAAGAAACTGGAGCTAGTGGGAATTGTTGTGGAGTTACCACCGATAGAGGTGAGTGTTCACTCGAATCGAATTGAGTTTTACTCACCTCTATCAATCGGCGGTCGTTTGACATCGAGTTTAGGTAATTAAGAAAGAAACAAGGACTGCTGTTAGACAAACACGAGTTGTTGATATTGTAAACGTGGTAACCATTGATTGGGTAGAGCCTGATCCAAATTTAAAAATACAATTTTAAGTTTACAAATAACCGTATATTTTAGTAAAACAAAAATATTCATATAATTTCCCAAAATCCTAAATATAGAGTAAACAACTCGTGACTCGACTCTCAAGTTGTTTTAAAAGCAAAAACATCCCAGTGGAGTCGCCAAGTTGTCGACATTGTTTTTTGCATGGGTGGGGAAAATACCGATACCGACTCGGGTCTTTTTTTCTTTGAAAACAATTTGAAATGTGAAGAGTCGTCACCAATCATTTAAGGTACAATTGGGACACCATAAAAACCGGGTGATTTTAATAAAACAATTTATTTTTATGAAAATACTAAGTTTTAAGGTCTGCGAAAATTCAGAAATCGAGTTCAAGAGTCAATTACACGTGGGGAATGATTAACACCCCCACAAGAGCCCAAAAATTGGTACCTAGTTGATTACCCTATATTTAAAATCAGAAATTTTGAGTTCGATCTTTATTTAATTTGTAAATCATTACAGATGCAAAGTTGAAAAGGATATTCGTTTATTAAGACCGATAGCATTCGCCCCTAGCATAAATGTAGGAGATCAACTATTGTGCCTAATAACTAGACATTATCTTAATTTCAGAAATCATGATGCGGTTTTGAAAAGGATGTCGACTTATTTTGGGAATCACCAGTAGTCACTCCCTTGAGCATACTTGAGGGAGATATACTATTAATTCCCTAAAAAGTGAACATTGCCTTAGGTTTGAAAATAAAATGCAATCAAACAAATTTTTATTAATCCTAATTGAGCTAAGGTAAATTAAAAGCTTTTTCTAGCTTAAGGTGTCAAATTATGAAAATTAGGAAATCTAGAAGATTAAACCTAAAAGTGTATGCTCTAATATTATTCCCTATTTAATTTTTAAACCAATTATTGAATCGAATAACCGAGATGGTCCCTCAAGCATTTACGCGAGGGCCGACTCGAATTATTCCTCAAATTAAGAGGATTATATCGAAATCTAGCTAAAAGGCTCTATTTAACCTATTTAATTATGCCAAAATTCAAGTTCTAATCGAAGTTCGGGGACTAAAAATGTCAAGATCTAAAATATCGAGTTCTAAAAGACTTAAAGGTTTAAGGACCTAAATTAAAATTTTCTAAAGTTGAGGGCTAATTAACATCAAAAAATCTAAATGTTATCTAATTTAACCTATTAAAAGGGAATTAAACCTGTAGACACTAAATTTTTACCCGAGCAGCCCCCTCTATCCAGCAGCCCCTCCATGCATCATTTCCAGCAGCTTCCAGTGAGCAGCCCATCCACGCATCAGTTGCAGCAGCTTCCAGCACTGCCAGGTGATCCAACGCCCTACTGCCACGCTGAAGCCTGTAGAAGACAGTTGCCTTGTCCACGTTGCTACCCTATGGTGAGTCACCACCATAGTTCGGTGACTCACCGAGGGCCATTCCTTTAACTGGTCCAAAGAAGACACCGACGAGGCCTATAAAGGGCCATCTCCTGCAGAGAAGAAAAGGGGAGGAAAAAAGAGAGGAGACACAGAGCAAGAACGAGAGAAGACAACAAAAAAAAAGAGATAGAAAAGCATCTAAACCAACGATCCCAGACAACATCAAAATGAAGAACAAAAGGAGAAGAAGTCGAGAGCCTTACCACCAGCTTTAGAATCTTCAAAAGCCGCCGAAGATCCAGATTAAACCGAAGGTAATCACTTCGGTTTATTTAGATCTAGGGTAAAATAGAGGGTTTTAGAAAAAAAGAATGCTAGATTCAAGTTAAAGGTTTAAAAGCGAATCGTTTGGGTTAATTTGTAATTTCCAGCCACCAGAGACGGTGGCCGACGGCAGCGGGCGATAGCGGCGACAAGTTTCCACCCGGTGAAGGAATTTAGATAGGGAACAGAGAGAGTTCTCATCTCTCTCAAATAGAGAGAGAATGAGAAATGAGAAATGAACAAGAATGGCCTTAAGGCCGATTGGAATAGGGTTTAAATACCCTCACCAAAACGATGTAGTTTTGGTGAGGGCTTCTAGGTAATCTCATGTATGGTTAAATATGCCCCGTAATGTCTGTAATTTTGTAAATTTACATTTTAGTCACTTAAATCAAACTTTTGAACCTTTTAATTCAGACTCTTAATTTTATTTTATTATATTATAGTCCCTACTATATTTATTAAATATTTAGGATAATACCAGATTTAGTCCTTTTAATTTTAAATATTTATATTTTAATTACCAGTTAATAATTAAAGCTAAATTATACTATATGTACCTATATTATATAATATTTCAAGTTATGTCTATTAACTTTAATAATTTAATCATTAAAAGCATATTTCTGTTATTTAGTTGGCATCTATATTTTATTTATTTCCTTTTAGTCATTTATATATTTATTTAGAGTAAAATGATAAAGATGGTATGATATTTTAGACAGATAATGATCATATTAACCTAGTGTAGCATGATTTGTTATATAATTTATCAATATGATTAATTTTATGTTTAGGTAGTGTTAATAATTTGTTTGATAAATTTATATAATATGTATGTAGAATATATAATTAAATCATTACTATTTACACGAGATATTTATATTAAATCACCATGATCCCATTTTCTTTAATTTAACAAAATCTTCAAGAAAGATACCTATGTCTAGGTGTATCAATAAATTGATTTTTTTTATAATTTAGAATTTAAATTTTATTATATTAGTACATGTATACTATATTTTTAATTTCTCTTATTTTAATCATATTTATTACAATATTATTTATTATTACTTTTATATTTTAATTATTGCTTTAATTATTATTTTTATCTTATTCATATAAGTATCTATATATATATTTGTTTAAATAATAATATTTATTTATTTTTAATATCAAAGAAAATGACAGTCTTAAAGCAACTAGATGTCCTACTCTAATATATTAAATAAATAAATATCTTACTTATAAAAATCAGAAAACACATATTGTTTTATTTTATTAGAAAAAATTATTATTTATATTTTAAATATTAAGAAAGGGCATTCTTAAAGTAATTGGATGTCCATTTTCTGATATTTTTAAATAAATATTTTACTTTTATTAATTATATATATTAACCTATTTTTTATTTATTTTTTTATTAATATTTATATTAAGAAAAGAGCTGTCTTAAAGCACATAGAAGTCCTTTTCTGATATTTCTAAATAAATATCTTATTTAAAAATATAGATATTAATATATTATATTAATAAGTTTAAAATAACAGGATTATGAATTAAATATATTTTTGAATTTTTAAATTTCCAATAATAGAGACAATTTATAAGTAATAAGTACAAATTTTGGGCGTTGTGGGGGTGCTAATCCTTAGCTTGGCGACTCCGCTGGGGATGTCTGGTCAAACTTTAAAATCAATTATAAATTGTCTATATTAATTAGAAATTAAAAATTCATATATTTAATTTTTAATTATTTCTTTTCAAAATTTTTATATATACTTATTATTTTCATAATATTTATATGTATATTATTTTATTAATGTTTCATTTTATTTTCAAGTATTTTATTTCATTATTTATGTTTCTGTCAGAGGTTTGAACATTTCTCCTCACACACAACAAATGCATAGCATAACATAAGCTTTTTAATCAAGCTTGTCCCTTTTAAGTGGGAGTGAAAGCGACGTCTTCGTGAGAATTTATTCTCCGTGTTAGACCTAGCAAGTAGCTTTCGAGGTTCATATGCTGTATGTCTTCGAGGGAATTTATTCTCCGTGTCAGGCATAGAGAAGTGTATCCCCTCGAATTGAACTCGATGCACTTTAGTCTGTGATGGACTAGGATTGAGGGTTAGCAGCCCAAGGGGGTACTAACAAGGACAATTCGGGTACCTTTACTCTTAGAACCAAAACCCTGTATATAATAAACCCTAGAAATTCTCCTGATCTAAGACAATACTGAACCTCTGTCCGTAGGTGTACACAAAGGAGAAATAATTTCTAACTTTTTAACTTTCATTTGATTTTTTTATTTTTTCTGAATAAATGTATGTGAACTAGTAATCATGCGGTTAGGTTAATTTTTTTCAAACAAAGCATGGAACTAGAAAGCATGAGGTTAGGATTTATACCTTGATAGATAGAAATTTTTTTCCATTAGTTGGTACTAACCATTTTTTTTCTTATCTTTTTTTACTGCATGTTATTTTGCACTAACTTGTTTATATTGATTTCTTTGTTTGCATTGCATGATCATATCATAATCAAAAGGTGTTGTCTTGAAAGACTGTTCATCAAATTGGAAAGAAATCGTAAATGGACAAAAAGTTTATGATCAAACAAAATATAATGCGGCCAAGGAAGAACATCTTGAGAAAACTCTGAAGATAGAAGCGAGCAATACACATAGAGATCATGTTATATTAATACCAAAAGTACTCCACAAAGATCCTGCCAGATTGATACCAAAAGCAGTCTATGGTAAGAGCATCAGTCAGGGTATTCAGAATAAAGGTAGTTTTTATGAAGCTCAAGCATGTTATTTGAATGATCAAAACAAGAAATTGAGCACATAAGTGGAAACCATGCATGAAGATTTCCAAAAGATCAGTCAAGCCTTTCAAAATGCTGGCATAGGAAACACTCCAGAAGAGTGGATAACATGGGTCACCAAGCTGAAAAAGAACTACAATATATATGAATATCTTGTCCAAGAACATCTTGAACATAAAAGTTCTCTTACAAGGGAAAATGAGCAACTCCAAGAACTGATACAGAAGATGAAACACCAGAATGTCATGGAAGAAGCTGCAGTCCAGACAAGCAATACGACCCATAAGCTAATCGACTAACTTAACTTTCAAGAAGAAAATGGGAAAGTTATCTCCTACATGTAAAGTTTTGTTGAAGATAGGACTAAAAGTTGTCCCCTATATGTAAAAGTTTTGCTTGATGCATGGAAACTTTTGTGTTCAATAAAATCTGTTCTA